ATATTTTGTTTTTAACAAACCCAAACACCAGTGCAAACTTTTTTGGGTGCTTTATGTTTATTGTGCACAATATTTGATATTTACCTGTATTTTGTGACAATAAACATTATTATTATTATTATATTGAAAAAGACTTATGTTTTGTAGCTGTAGATTTCGAACTATACAAAATAGAACTATACCTCCGCATCAATGAAAAATGTATGGAACTATTACTCATAATAGGTACGTAGTATTGCCGGGAACAGAAGCTCATTGATAATACACAAAAGCAACATTTACACTCCCCCCCAGCTCCTATATTGGAAAAGTGTTAGTTTTTATCTCCTCAAAAAAGCGCATCACTACTTTCCGTTCTTTGCCCGTATCTCCCCTGCGCCTGGATCAATTTTCAAAACACACAAAGCTATTTCGTTCTCGGCATAGTAGTAACGTTTCACAAATTTCACACCAAAATCCGAGTGATATATTTGGAAATGAGACAGCGCAAAGCTATCGGCTAAGTTAGCATCTTATTAACACCGCGACTGCTAGAGGCTGACGATTCTGGCGGTGAAGTAGGTGTGATCTATTCGCTATCGAACAACTAGACATGCTGCTTCCATCTAACAGACAGTCAACCATGGATAGCTGCATCGTGCTTCTTAGTAACTCACAGCATGCTCTAGGCTTGGTCACTGGTACAACGATCTAAAGCATAGCACACTATCATCTGTCCAAAGTGGTCGATTTTGGTAACAGATGGCGCATTGAGCTATCTTATTTCGATAGACCTCATACCTCGGAGAGAATATCTATGCTTTCATTCTTTGTCCCAGACACCAGGCCTGGATCATGTTGATGAGTTTCCAGGATGCACGAAACAGCTGACAACATATTGACATTCCGGCCGGCAGATCAACTGACCGAAGTCTATATAAACATGGGTCAAAAAATGCGTAGCTTCCGAAATACAGTGTGTTTAAATGTACTTTCTAAAATAGTTTTTTTTTAAATATTTCGAACAATATTTGATGTATAACAGTGAAAATTGGTATATAAGGGTTTTTTGATACGACAAAACGAACCATGGGCATAGTTTTACTGTAGCCGCTAGAGGGCGCTCTCTACTGTACCTGTAGTGTATTAAAATGACCGAAACTTGTTTCTTAGTGCAATTTTTTGCTTTTTTAATAAAAAAACTGATTCTTCGTACCTTTCAACATAAAAAAGCTCTCCTATGACTTTTCGTTATAGTTAGCCGTTTTTGAGATATCTCGATTTTTAAGGTTCGATGCATTTTTAATTATTTATGGGGAAATAATATTTTTTTACATTTTTGATTTGGGCATTACAAGTAATTAAGATGATCGTTTAGATTGTGTTTTTAAACACAGCAATAATTCCTAACTCCAAATAATCACAAAAAATATTAATTTGTTTAATTTTCCAATATTATTTTTAACAAATTAAATTAATTATTTACAACTAAAATGCTATTGGATACTTAGGACAAACATACAAAATCTAAGGTAGTTGCTCGAAATGTAAACCCAATTGTTCAATACACAATTCACATCTACGAATGATCGAACGTGGTATAGCATTATTCAAATAAGGCCTTATTTCATCACATGCATTCCTGATTCTGTCTATTAGCATATCTCTTGTGGCTACGGGAGTCTGGTACACTTTTTCTTTTAGAAATCCCCACACAAAGAAATCTAATGGATTTAGGTCAGGGGATCGTGGAGGCCACGCGACTGGTCCTCCACGGCCGATCCATCTTTCTGGATAATTTTCGTCCAGCCAGTTAGTAAAACGTTACTTGAAAACTCCCCATTATTATCAGTTCTATCAAGAAGCCACTGACAAAATGTGATTCTTCGTTCTCCGTCCCCTGGCTGTAGTCCTTGCACAGGTTGCAAATGGTAAGGATGCCTATGGTCATTTCTAAGAACACGGTGAACATGGCTTGCTTATGTTTTGATCCCTTTGGAGATTTCCAAAACCATTTTCAATTATTTGGCGATGCAGTCTTGCAAATACTGAGCGAGTTGGATGTCGCCTGTTTGGAAATATTCCTGCGTATTCTCTAGCTGCTTCTGCTGCGTTTCCATTTACAAAGCCATACACAAAATGAATATCCGCTAACTCTTGATTGGAGAATTAAAATGGCATTTTTATGAAACTGACAAAAAAAACAGGTAAAAGAAACTAAATTTCGTGCATTCACAATTGCAAAAAAATGTTTCAGGTTTCAACAGACAACAAAACTAACTGTCAACTAATTAACGTTTAACCTTATTCTGCTTTCAATTTCAAAAATATTTGGAGGCACAGCCTACTTCTAAAAATTATCGAGATACTGACTTTTTAACGTTATTTTATCATAAATAATTAAAAATGCATCGAACCTCAAAAATCGAAATATCTCAAAAACGGCTAACTATAACGAAAATTCACAAGAGAGCTTTTTTATGTTAAAAAGTGCGAAGAATCAGTTTTTTTATTCAAAAAGCAAAAAATTGCACTAAGAAAAATTTTTCGGTCATTTTAATACACTACAGGTACAGTAGAGAGCGCCCTCTAGCGGCTACAGTAAAACTATGCCCATGGTTCGTTTTGTCGTTCCAAAAAACCCTTGTATACCAATTTTCACTGTTATACATTAAATATTGTTCAAAATATTTAAGAAAAACTATTTTAGGAAGTAAATTTAAACACCCTGTATTTCGGAAGCCACGCATTTTTCGACCCATGTTTATATAGACTTTATGCATTAATTTTAAAAGTTCTATCGAATCTTAAAGTTATGCAACAATAAAGGGAAACACCCTGTATAATAATATCTCTTTTACGAGATATTTCGCGATTACAGTACTTTTCAATTGGGGAGGGAAAAAACGGAAGTATCTCGTTAATAAAAGTTTGGACTTGCTGTATGTTTGTAGAACTGGTAGCACATTGTTAATACGCTTGATGCCCTAAGAGCAAAGCTGTATTCGTACCGAGGCGGGGATGAGATTTTGTGTTCCAGTGTGAGACAGTGGAAGAAGCTCCAGGATTCAGAGGCAGTTTTATAAGTTCTGAGGCAATTCAGGGAGATCCGTGATGTTTCGTAGAGGTTAAGGGCTTTGGAGCCATTAAAGAAGGTCGGAGGTAATTGAAAAAGACATATACGCTATATTTGGGCATCCAGAGGTAGCGTGTTTTTGTTGCCATGATGGTCTTTATTGGTGTTATGCAAGGTGCTTAGCATAAGAGCCGAAACAGAGCAAAGGTAGTGTACGTAGTGGAACCCAACACAACTAACTATTCGACATTTGTTTGTCTGGGCGGTCCGTAGGACCTTTGCCCATTAGTCACTGTCTAATGTACGTTAGTCGAATCTGTCAGAAATGGTTATCCAGAAACCAGAAAATGTCAAGCGAAAAGAGAAAGAGAAGAAATAAAGGGTAGAGCAAAGAAAAAAACAGAAGTGTTTAGTTTAAGAGGAAACACCTAGGCTTTTTGACTTGGTACACGGATTAATTTTGAGGTGAACTTAACAAATTTTGATTCGGTTTTGTTAGAGTTAAATTTTAAGTTTGCTAAAAGTTAGCGTTAATTTTTTATTACAGTGCGAGCCGTGGCCTTGAATGTTTACGAACTTGCTCCACTGTGTAGTCCACTGAGTCGCGCAACAGAAGGTTGCTATGCGATTGTGATGTTGTAATTTAACGCAACTTACCCATTTACTAAATTGCACTGCTGATAACTTATATGACGTAAAAGTGGGGTTACACATTTTAAAAGACAATCAACATCTCAGTTACTCCTCGTAAAAGATTTTATTTACTTTCGATTATCAAGTCCGTTTAATTTTATAGCCAACACAACGTTAGAATTTTTGATAGTTTTAAAGAGCACGCCTGCAACTCTAGTTTTCTGGTATTCTATTGAAAACGACAGTTTGTAGAAAAGTAACAAAATAAAGGAAGTCTTAGAATAAAACTGTGCAAGTTATGCTGTAATAATTATAAATACCGCCAACGTGGTAAACGATTCAGTCAGATTTTCGGGGTGCATCATCCCTTTAAAATGTTTAACTTAATTATTGTCGAGTAATGCTCTTTATTACAGTCGACACGTGAACCGAATTTGCCTTGTCTGAGTGTAAGTATAAGTTATATGTTTCCTTTCAAAATTTATTACCCCATTTTTACTTCTTCAAGAGGGTAGGTACTTTAGTATACTTATATAGGTAACTTGCCTTGAATTACAATATCTTAGGTTCCCCTGCTTTGTGCCGATTCTTATCAGAAACACCCTGTACAATACATGTTCTGACTGACAGGTAGAAATACAGAGAGATCCTAGGCAATCCAAGGCTATCTAAGAAGATCCAAGGATTTCCAAGTAGATCGAAATAAATCTAAAGACATCCACGCGGAAATATATTTTACCGAATAGAGTGTCAATCTTTATCTGCATCGTTTGACCTCACACTCGATATGTGAATCCCCAACCTGATTGAGGACCAGAAGCCTTGTGAATTCTTTTCACAAACTTCGGGGTTGTGGTGGGATAACGAGAAAAAATGTATTCAGCATATCGATAAAAAAAAAGAACCACGTGACGAGAATTCCATCAATGCAAAAGACACTGGAACTTATGTCTATTGAAAATGTAAAGTGAAAGGCTGAAAAATATAACTGACATTCATGATAGAATAAATACAATAAAAATTAATGAATACGAGTTTTTTATCCGTTACTAGATACTGACTTCATATCCTCGGTGTCGTACCGGCGTAACTAACATTTTACAAATTTTACAGGAGAGCTAGAAAACGAAAATCAGCAATAAATGAAATTGAAAATTACATAATGATATTTTAATCTGAACGTTGCGGTTTTTTTGTTAGACTAAAATGATGTAGAACCAGTTTTAACGCAGAGGCGTAAATCTATTTAAGCCGGTGAACGATTTGAAGTAGGCTCCCTTTTCGGTTGATCTCCATGGCGATTTGGTTTCAGGATTCCTATATGTGTACAATCAATTACACCAATTGCTGTCGGAAATTTATACATGCTTTGCCAAATCCGCTTGGCCTCCATCAGTTCATGGTTGGTAACTGGAAACTTGATCCATTCGTTCGACTGTGCAACTATGCTGTTCACAACTCTATCCACAGTCCGAGATACCGTTGCTTGACTAACACCAAGTTCCTGACTAATACCTTGTTGATATCCAGGGTCAACAAGATAGCGTAGACATATCTTTATTTTATGAATACGTGAAAGTGATCCTTTTAGAGATTCCTCATTTTCAAATACTGTCCGCAAGCCATTGTACATTTGCTTTGTCAAACTGATATAATTTCTCGAAGTCACGACCAGTTGAAGGTGAACGAGGTTTGTACGTTTTAACATCCCCAATTTCCGCCATCATCGTTTGACCACTTTTCATTACGAAGTTGAGTCTGCTACTGACCACACTCAGAATTTTTGAAGGATATGCTTCCTATGCCAAGTATAAGGTGAAGATTATGGATATCCTTTTACTTATGTCACTGCTTTGAAGGATATACTTATACTCAAAAAGCAAAAGCATTTACTTCAAATTATTATTATAAATACCATCTGGAGGATTTCCTTCAAAATTTGCAAGTAAAAGGATATCGTTTGTTTTATGAATACTGCTCATTATGCTTGTGCGTTTCAATTGTTTCGTCATGGCTAGGTATAATTATTTTCTAAAGTCCCTCGTAAATATGGAATACTAATACCTAGCCATTATGTTTGATAATTATAAAAATAGAAGTAGACTGTCAATGTGAATACAAAGTAAGAAATTCATGTGACGTATTTCGAAAAGTGGCCACAGCCGTGTTTTTGTGCGTTCACCGCCTCACATCCTAATGAGAGTAATTAAATATAATGATGGTGATTATAAGATCGTTTAAGGAAGCGCTACGCCTGCTCGCTTTTTTTTTCGTTTCAAGAATTCAAGGGACGCTCACCAATTATCGGTGATGTACTGACGTCCGCAGCAAGTTTTTCATACTTTCATGTGTTTGTAACCTCGAAAGGTGAAAAAAACAAAACATAGTCTGATAAGTCAGAAAATTCGATGTATTACTCATGAGACAATTACTACTGTAATGAAAATGTATATTCTAAAGGCGCGTACACATCTGGCGAACGCATGTGGCCGAAGCTCTTCGATCGAATTCATTCGATGATTTCGACGTTCGATGGAAAATTTGCTCTGCCGTCCACATTACGGTGAACGAATTTGTTTGCAGTCATTCGTCGAGGTTCGCGGGTATTTTTGTAAATGGTAAAAAATGGCGTCCGATGATGAGGATATAATTATTGCAAGTGCGTTGTATATTATTATTAGTGAGGCGGAGACCGAAGCATTGAAAGAGCCCCCCAAGAAACGACGAAAACGGCGCTGGTGGACATCATTGTTCAAAAGCAGAAGTCGGTATAGAGGGATGGACTTAATTAGTGATCTAAAAGCTGAAATGGAATACGGACTTTTTGTAAATTTTTGTAGAATGAAGTCTACTGATTTTGAATGGTTATTAAATGAAATCGGTCCAAAAATCGCGAAACAAGATACAAAGTTTAGTGTCTTTTGGTATAAACTTGTCCATCAAGAAAAGCATTTCTTTGAAAGCGAACCAGCTAGATTTAAAAATTGTGTCGGTTCCTGAGCCAGTTTTAAACGAGCTATCTTGTTTTTGTCTCTCACGTCGGAATGATGTTAATAAAGATTCGATTTTCTTTTTGACCTCCCCTGTATCGCCTTTCATAATTTTGCTGATGTCGTTCCAGGCATCCATTTTCTTTATTTTATTTTTGTAATCTTTATGCACTGGATTCCATAAAACTTCCCGTTCTCGATATAAACCAATAAGTTTTAAACAAGAGGAATTAGTCCACTCCATTATCGCTAAATAGAAACTCAAAACAAAATGACCACGATGAGACACTTAAAAACTGAAAAGCGTACACACTAAACACAGCCAAACGAATTCGTTCTTCAATTTTCTTTTGATGTACCGCCCAGTGACCGAACTCTGGCGAAGGCAAACACATGCGTTTGTTAGGTCGTACACATTTACCAACGGCGTTCGGTCGAAAGGCTTCGGCCACATGCGTTCGCCAGATGTGTACGCGACTTAACAAAACTCATTAATAAAAAATACCCAGCCGGTACAGTACTAATCCATAGCCCGCCTTTACCAAAAGTCATAAATTTATACTTGTGGGGATGACAGTTACTAAGGCCATGATTTTATGTACAATGTAATTGTAACAGTACCTGAAAGAAAACAGCCTCAGTTTTTTTTACCAACCAACCTTCTTACGCATAAGCAAATCTCAGGGACGTCTTATGACCCTTCCTTCATATCTTTTTTTTTTAAGTTTATTCAAGTTTATTCAAAGTTTATTCAAATTCAAAAACCAATATAACTTACAAATTAAAAATAACCTTCAGTACAATTTAAATAAAAAACAGTTTCAAAAATACATGAGCTTGTATGCTCTTGCTATCCTGAATAACCAAGATTGCAACAGAAATCTAAGCAAAGATACTAGAATCAGATCTAGAACCAACAAGTAACGGTATATGAATTGTGAAAATTCTGTATACTTTCGTAAAGGGTAAATGTCTGAATCATGTCGTCACAAATCCTAAATTACGTGTCTGAATAAACAAATCTAAAATGCATAACAATAGTACAGAAGCATACTAAAAACACTCAGAAGTATAAACATAGAGTACATAAAATATGAATATCTGAAATATGATAATATAGGGATATTTCGAGTAAGGTCAAACTATGTTGTTTAAACAATAAAAATTTTGCCTAAAGGTTAAGCAGAGAAACAAGAGCACTACAATTTACTACAAAAGAATTTACTACAAAAGAATAGACACCTAAGCTATAAGCTTGTGTGTGTCAAGCTACAGTCGATGCAAGCATGTCAAAGTTATTTAAGATGAACTTCTTAATTCTTTTTTTGAAACTATACTTCGAGAGGATTTTATATTCTAGGGGTAATTTATTATACAACATAATACCATCAAACTTTATGCATTTTTGGCAAACAGATTTATTCACTCTTTTATAAGTGTAACTTATATTTATTTTAGTTCTTGTTTCATAAGCATGGCTGGTTGGAACATTGTTTCTGGAGTGAACAAATTTCAGAGCAGCAAAAATGTATAAACCTCTAACATTCAAAAGATCATTTTCAATGTAAACAAATCTGCAACTTGACCTACATGGGATACGAAAAATAGTCTAGACAATATAATTTTGCGTGGTTTGTAGTATTTTTAAAGTACTAGTGTATGCGCCTCCCCATATACTTATCCCGTAAGTTATTAGAGATCCCACAAACGAGAGAAGACTGTTTCTGCTTAAAATATTCCTAAGAATGAAAAACTTATGAGTAATTCTCCTTAATTTCGATGCCAAAAGCTCGGCATGACTCTGCCACTTTAAATTACTGTCAACAGTGATTCCTAAGTATCTAATAACTTCAACTCCTTCGACAGTGTCAGCTCACATCATTTAAAATTAATGTTCGGTGTTGTAATGGCATGCCTGCTTTGGTTGGAGAAAACGTTACATACTTAGTTTTAGAGATATTAAGTTTAAGTAAATTGTTATCCAACCAGCATTTGACTTTATTTAATGACAACTCGGCATTCCGGATTGCGTCATCCCATGAATGACCAGTGCAAACTAAAACAGTATCGTCTGCATATGATATCATTTTACAGTTGAAATTGCATTGAAGTAGTTCATTTATGTATATGAGGATCAGTGTTGGTCCCAAAACCGTCCCCTGAGGCACACCTATTTTGATCTTTTGAATGCTGCTTAAGTCTGACCCTACCTTAACTTGTTGTAATCGATCAGCCAAATAGTTCTCAAATAAGTTCAGAACTCCACTACGCACTCCAACACTTTCTAGTTTTTTTAATAAAATTGTATGAGATACTGAATCGAAAGCCTTTTGAAGATCTAGGAAAACTGCAACAATCTTATTTCCATCTTGAAAATTTTCAAGCGCCTGTCCTGTAAGTTCTAGAGATTGCTCTGTTTTGCAATTTTTGCGGAACCCAAATTGACAGTTCGATATTATGTCATATTTCTCAAGAAAAGAACAAAGTCTGTTATTCAAACACTTCTCAAAAATCTTCCCAAATACATTGATAACTAAAATAGGTCTATAATTGAACATATTGTCTTTACATCCAGATTTAAATATTGGTGTCACTATGCTTTCTTTAAATTCTGTTCTAACACTTTCCAGGTCTACTGGACCAATGTCTTGACCGTTGTCAAGATGAATGTTTTCTCAGGATATCAAAAATAAGAACGAGTACAAGACAAAGCTGCTTTCATTCTATTCTATCGGAATGTTAGGAAATGTAATAAAGTCGTGCGTCCATACCTTGATCTTCGAAAAAACTTGCGACGGGTAGAGCAGAATGGGCCACTCCTCTTAATTTGATAGTGCAGCTTAGATAAGTATTGAGTTATCATAAATTTCAAATTTATGATAACCAGTCAGCGTAAATTTCTTCATTAAAAAAATCCGATAAATTTATATGTTGTGCCAAAAATTTTAGGACATAGATCATTAAGAAATTTCCTTCATCCCATACTATTTAGTCATCCTTCCCAAAACCAAAATTCGCTGACAGAAGTGACAGCACATTGACAAACGAGACAAACGTTTTCCCATTCGACTATGGCAGGGTTTCCCAACCGTTTTTTTATTGAGGCTCCCCGCACTATAAATTATATTTTCATGCCCCCCCCCCCTTTACTTTTTCAATAAATACAAAAAAAAACGCACATTATATAGGTACAGACACTTTTATTTTAATTCTAATAAAGAAACTTTTTATCGAAAAACATGAATAAAAGAAGAGCAGGTACTAATGAGACACTTGAGAATTCATGTTCTGTACCAGTTGGTTGATTCTAGGTTCTGTTTTTGCCAGAGCTATCATCAGGTCGCTATCGACATCAAGACGATTTCGCTGTTTAGTTTTAATTAAAACTAGAGCAGAAAAGCCTGTCTAATATAAGTAAGT